TGGGGACGTGGCCATCAGCAGCTTATTTTGATGTAAAGTGACAAGAGGCCCAAAAACATCTCATGGCACTAAAATCTCATTATCTAAGGATGAATCTGTGCAAAATATCAAATGAACATGTATTGTGTAACCCATAGATCTGTCCCAACCTGTTCAAGGAAGCAAACTTAAAGCTGTCTTCTACAGTATTGATCTGCTTTTTCTCTAACGTTGTATCCAGTGCTTGAGTATGTGAAAAATATAATTTCTTACTTATTGAGTTCATTTGGACCGTGTGCCTCTCTCATCCAGTCAGAGAAATGCTACGCTCTACATCCAGTCAGCCAGGATCTACGACGAGGCCGTCTACGTGTGTGAAGCCTCCAACGTTTTGGGAAGAAGCCACAGCACAGCCCTGCTGAGAGTTGCTGGTGACACTTACTTTATATTTATATTTATAAAGTACTGAATTTATATCTAACAGAGGTTCTTAAATCCAAGATAAGTCAAGTCTACATTCATGATGATGTTGTGACACAATAAACTAAATAAACATTTTTCTGGGTATGAAGCACAATTGGCCACAAATCAATAATCAATTCATCTTCATCTTGTCTTAAAATGCATAAAATATACATTTTTGTGCAGTTTTTGCTTAATTAATGCTCTGAGTATGTTGTTCTTTCACCAAATGGCCTTTTTGAGTCTTTATATTCCAGGTAACGATTAATCGATTACTAAAATAGTTGACGAGTATTTGAATAATTGGCTCATCATGATTAATCAGTTTAATAGTTTCAGCCCTAATCGTTACATATTCAGGATTTATCTCTTTAACTATTCCACTACAGCTCACATTGAAGAAGAAAAGATAAATTAGTCAAACATGGACATTAAATAACTCAAAATATTACACGTTTTGTTTGGGCAATTATACTTGGAGTAGTCGTATGTACACAATGGATTCTTTTTCTTCTTTATTTCCAGTGAGTCCCATTATTGTGACTTTTGTAAGCAGAGTGAGCAGCACCATCGGGTCATCAGTGGTTCTGCCCTGCAGAGCTGTTGGGGTTCAGCCCATCACATACAGCTGGACCAGAGCGGAGACTCGCTCTCCCATCAGCCGCACTGAAACCAGACATGTTGACGGTGAGTCCTGCATGTGACCTGGTTCAGCCTGGATGTAACTACATGTCAGCTATGCTTGATGCAGAAAGTGGAGCCCTGCACATTTCCAGAGTTCAGCATTCGGATGCAGGAGAGTTCGTCTGTACTGCTGAGAACGGAGCTGGACGCCATCAGAGACATGCAGTCCTCGTTGTCACAGGTGTGTTTATTCCTCATCAGAAGCTGCTTTCCATTGCAAATGCTATATCGATATTCCCCTAATGTCAAAAAAAAAGTGCAATCGCAGTGTTTCCATTAATTAAAATCACGTGAATAAGTTTGTTCACTCAATAAATCATAAAAAACATGCAGTGCCTCATCCTCCTACTTCCTGTCGTCTTTTTTGTCTTTTCAGCCAGTAGTAACATCCTGCTGTTGGTCACATGAGTCATGTGATTACAAAAAGATTTTCTATTGCAGTTTTATTGAAATACATAAATTTTGACGCAGCTGAAAAACGACCCCATCCCAGCACAAAAAACTTTTTATCTAAAAATGTTTTGTCAAAAATTTCCATGTTTGCATTAAGCAAATTTATTTTCATAATTACAATTCGCACAATTATATGTGAATGAAAAGGCAGCAGTTAATACAGATTAAAAGGGAATTAAAACAGAGAATGATTCAAAGCTTTACTTGAAATCTGAAACTTTCATATTGGTGATTTAATATTCACCAATTCAGTAAATATTTCTTATACTAAAGCTATAAAGAGCGGAAATCGTTTATTTGTAATGAACACTGAAGGGTCAATCAATACAACACTTATGAATTATCTCTCTTTCACTTGGTTTTGAATCTCATTGGTTGCAGTTGGAGCGTTGATGAACTATTATTATTGTGTGATTTGGATCAAATAAACTATCTAAATGGTTACTACTAAAGGTGCAACTGAAAAACAGATTAACTCTGCAAAAACATGCCAGATAAGTGAGCTGAAGATGGATTTCTGCATGAGTTTCTGATTCTCCTTGATGCTGTTTTTGTTGCTAAGCTGAAGATCGTCCTGCTTCTAGAGACAAACACACAAAACTGATTCTGTCTGCTGTGAGTAAAGATGTGAAAACATTTCCTCAGGTTTGTGTGGAAAATCATTGAGCAGATTGTTTATTTGCTTTTCATGCATCATTTAAGTTCTCAGCAAATCTTCATAAATGGTGACATTTCATTATTTATCACTATAACATGCAACATTTGTGACATTTGTGGCCTTTCATCCATTTGATACATTTGTGATTAATGGTGTTTCAGCATCAAATGAATTTGTTCTCATGAAATCCTTTGTTTTGGTATTTCTAAGAGCTCTAATGTTGGCGAGGATCATCATGTTTCAGCTGAGCAGAACCTTCGACCAGCTCATCATCCCCATCTGATGGCTCAGAAAAAGTTAACATGTATGTATTTGCAGAAAAACTTTTGTAGCTCTTTAGGTAACAGTAACTACTTCAGTTTTAGCATGATTGTTGGCTTGTTTTTTGTTTTTTTTTCTGGGTGTGAAGTTAATCTTTTTGAATGGTTACGATTCAGAGACAAAACATTCCTTCAAGATTTTAAAGACATCGACTTGCAAAAGTTTTTTCCTTGATTTTTAACTTCAATTTTTCAAATTCTTTGAAACCAAAGTTGTTACAAAGCATATCATGCTCACCTGCCTGGTTTCATTGTGTTTGTTAAATTATTTGGACAGATTTTAGTCACTTTGGTAAATGGAAGAAATCAATAAGTAAAACTATTGCAAATCAAAAACACAAAGATTAAACAAGAATAATATTTCACGTTATTCTTGAAATGATTTAACCTCTCAGTTTAAAGGCTAAACAAAGTAAAAAATCTGGTTTGAATAACTTTACTTTTATGACAAAGAATCAAAAGGCTGCAGCTTGATCAGATTCCAGCCTGCAGTGACCCTAAAGAATTAAATAAAAATATTCATGAGCATAAAACTGACAACAAAGATCAAACTGTAGTCTCTTTTAGGTGAACAGTGTGTTGACAGAAAAAACAGCACATGCATTAAACCATCTGCAAAACACAAAATCTTACCCGGTATTTTTGGTCTAGGTTTTAGTGCAACTATTGTGGTCCACCTTAAGACAAAACTGTCTTAAAAGTAACTTTGTATAAGCTTGTGTAAGGTTTTAGTAATTCTTCAATAAAGATGCAAAGAGTACAACTTTCACTGGCAGATTGTTTTCACTTAAAACAGGAAAAATGTGAAAAAATTTAACTTTTCAATCAATATTCACAAATTATCGACTAAAAACAAACTTGTATATTTTGCTGAAAAGTTACTTTTAAGTTAGCTTTGTCAAATTTCAAGTGTACTAAACCAAAAGTACACTATAAAAAAATGTCAGCTGTGGTTGCCAATTTTACTGTATAAATCTGATAAAATTCATATTTATACAGATTTTACTTTACAAATACATTAAAATTCATATTTTTATGGTAAAATTCTGCCACGGCTGCTGGTATTTTACTGTAAATTAGAGATTATTTTTATAGTGTACTTACATTTTCCATACATCACTCATTAAAGTTTGCAAGAATTGTTTATAAACTTGTTAAACAAAGCTTTGGCAACCATATTATATCTCATTGATGAATGATTACTGCTTTGAGAATCTGATATTTCTTTTTTTTTCCAACCAGTATTAAAAACAAAACTTTTTACTTCAGTAAAAACCAACAGGTGAACATTTCCTTCATGATTAATTATATCTCACAAATCAATAAAAGAGAAACATTTTTCTGTACTCTTCCAGGTTTCAGCTGCAGCAACACGACCACGTCTCCAGCTTTTTCAAGAAAATTCCCAGCAGAGTTAAAGGCACCGCCGTCGAGGCCTGATCAGATTTTGGAGGAAGTGACCCATCCAGCCCAGCAGCTTGTTGTTTCGCAGATGCAGCCTCCAATATTGCCGCCTCCGCCGCATCCAAACTTCCTGTTAGGACATCTCAACCCCAAACTTCCTCTGGAAAAGGATCAACATTTAGCCTCAACTAGTCGACCCCTCAGTTCAACGCCGGCAGCTACCAGTCAGGGTTTCAGGGTCAGGATTTCACCACATCAATTTCTGCAATCTACAGAAAATAACGAGTCTCCAGTGAATCTAAAAGACAAACTGATGGAGTCAGAAACACCAGTGCCAACACAGATTTCTGTTTCCCAGATTAAAATTAAACCCTCAGTGAAAGTTACTCCAGAAGGGGAATCGTTTCATTTGAAACCCCATTCTTTCCACCAACGGAATATCCTCTCCAAAAATGAGACATCATCACAGATTTCTCCAAATAAACCAACTGCTTTGCACTTTTCAGCTTCTCCCCAACAAACAACTCACCGGCCTGCCACAACAATGAGTTTTCTCCCAAAGTTTCATCTTGAAAGCCCCGACATGCAACTTCCACCATCTTTAATCACCAAACCTCCGCCATTACAGTTTGATGATCGACCCACAGCAGCAACGTTAAACCCTGGATCATCTCAACAGCACCACCCAGTATCAGACCCAGTAAACACCAGTCATGTGTACTGGTTGACCTCCACGCAGAAAGATCGACCATCCAACAGCACAAAGCTGACAGACTGGAAAAAGAGGAACACCTCCCAGTCCCCAATGACCAGCAACGATCCCATGTGGGTGAAATAAGCAGCTTTTATTTAATCTTTTGATAAAAATCAAATCTATAGAAGTAAATGGTCTTGAATAATAGTTTTCCACTTTTTCTTAAATTTTTGATGCTTTTTTACTCATTTTTATGACTGTTCCTTCAGCTGCATTCCTTATTTTTCAGAAACACACTTCAAAATATGCTTAGCATAATATATAAAACAGAAAATATTTAAAACACTTATCGAATGCTTAGAGTACTCTTAATTTAAAACCATTTTCAAAGATTACAAGAAATGCTTACTTCCTGTAAGCATAAGCTAAAAAGTCCCAGATTAGTTTAAAATGTATCAAATTATTATTGAAGTTGCTTTTTGTGCGAGAAGTCTAATTTTTATTCTCTCCCAGAGGAACACAACAGTCGCCATCATGGCTGCCTGCTCTTGAGAAACACGACATCCCCATTGTGGTTGGAGTCGGCATATCCCTGGCTTTCATCTTCATAACCGTCACTTTTTATTCAGTCGTCCAGAAGAACGAACCTTTACCCCCGGGTCGAGCAGGTAGCACATTATTTTATTTTCTGATTGTCCTAGTTGGCTGAAAAATGAAGATTTTTTTCCCCCACAAAACTAGCAGATCAAGACCAGTTTTCTTGCGTTCACAACACATTGAAATCATTGTGTTTACATGTCAAAAGACAAGTAGCATTATTTCAAATGCCATTAGTATATTAACTTAAAATTTATTAAGTTGTATTAGTGATTTGCAATACATGCACATATGTACTAAAACAATAATCCTTTAAATTCTTTTTAAATGAAAAGGTTTCAAGATTTATGTCTGGAGATTAACTTTGTCATTCAAAATTTTTCTCACTTTCAATTCTGTATTTTGACTCAGCAACAAGATATATCTGACAGTTGCATGAAAAAAAAAAAGCAGTTTTGTTTTACCTAAAAATTGGCTTGCTTCACACAACATATGCTAACAAATTAGCTGTCTATACTTTACAGTAACAGGTTGATAAGCTGAACTCTTGTCTTGATGTGAAACGGACATTAATGTTTTAAAAGTCATGGAGGGACGGTATTATGTAAAATATCCCAGATAATGTTAATACTCTTGTGTTGATACTCTTAAGAAATAAGAGAATTAGCTAAATTAATTTATTTATCCTAAAACAATCTAAATGTAGGTAAATTTCTGCTTTTTCATAGAAAGCTAAATAAGTTTCAAATAAAAACTGCTAGCTACTTTTAAACATGTTTTTATATGAGCCAAGAAAAGTTAGCTGACTTGGCAAAGTCCCTTTAGCTTTTGCTGGTTAAACAACTTTTTTCACATAAAGGTTTAACGATCTCTTAAAGCTAAATATCATCCAGGTGCTTTTAATACTAAATCAATTTTAATATTAAATCTCTACATCTTTCCTGTTTTTGTTTTACCAAAAACTTATCTAAATTAGTTTATCTTAGCCTATTTAATGTAAGCTAACATAAACTAAAACTAAGCTTTTCACCTGTTTAGTTTTTCCTACCAACTTGTCAAAATAGCTTTTAAAAGTTACATTAAAGACTAATAAAAAAACAAAACATCTTATGTGAAACAGGAAAACCCAATTACCAAACTCACTTTAGTTAGCCAAGTTAGCTAAACTAGCTTTTTTTATTACTGGAAAACGTGGAAAACATTGAAGCAGCTAAATAAAGCAACTTTCAATGTTTAGCTCTTGTTACTGGCAAAGTCATTTAATCATAAACAACTCGGCTGTTATTTATTCAATTATTTATTTTTTTCATGTTGAAAAAATTGGCTAAATTAGCTTATCGTCTAAGCAAACTTAACAAAAACTCTCTTAATTTAATGTTAGCCACATCCTTTGCAGCTCAAAGGAATCTTGGAGTCCCAAAGAGACACGCTGACTGCCAGGCTGCTGGACACACGTATGAAAACAGGTGAATATAAAACTACAAAACACAAAAATATGGGAAAGGCAGTCCTGAGGATCTTAAACAAACGTAACGTAACTTAAACATCAGCTGTATGTGTGTACAGAGCTTTTGAGGACGATGACTCTGTCACCGTGATCGAGCAGAGCCCCAACACGTCAGACACACGGGCCCGACCTCCAGGGCCCAGCCTGGTCATTGTGCAGATGGAGCCAACGTTTGAGGAGATTCAAGATGTCTGCCACCCCGCAGTGGACCACTACTCGGTGACTGTGGAGACTCATCCTGAGCCCATTGTTGACACCAAGGTCTGAAATCCCACATGTGAAATTAATTTTACTAATTTGATCAGCATTAGGTTTGGAAATTAGAGGGAACCTATTAGGCTTTCTTGAACAGGTTAGATCTGTGGGCCGCACAAAATATGTTCCTCACAATTTTTACACAATCATTCTTAGATTATGAGATTTTAGTCTGATTTCAGTTCTGCTTATTTTGAGCTCCTTTCATAATGAGATGTTTTAGGGCGTCTGCTGCTGACCACACCCCCTAACTCAATGTTTACACTCGCATGTGGAAATGGCTGCAAACAGATGTGCAATTATACAACCATATATCTTTGAAAAGCAGAAGTAGAGCCTCCTGCACAATGAACAAAAATGCAGCAAGGGGTTTCTGGACGGTAAGTCAGCAACAAAACACTTGTCTTTTCCATCAGCCATTGTACAGCGCATACAGTGGAAAAACCAGCTGACCAAACATGCTGGAGCTCCGCTTGGGTTGCTAGGTAAGGGGCTGGGTGTGACTGGGGTTGCTAGAAAGAGGCATATTGTGACTTAACAATCAGGAGGTTTTTGAAACGGGTAATTTTCTAGACACCAATTGCCAAAAATCGGCTCGGTGTTTTTAGAAGCAGTTGAGACCCAAATGGAAATACAAAAACATAATAGTTCCCCTCCAACAAAATCATCAAAACTTTTTGGGGATTTCTTTTTCTTTTTTCCCCATTTTTAAGATAACTATAAGGATCCAGTTTACTCCTTTTCTATGGAAAAGGATTAGGACCAACAATTTAAAAAAATAATTCTGACTTTAAACTCTAAATCTAATTTTGTGTCTGTCTATGTCAAAATGAAAATAACCAAAAATTCTCAGGTGTATCTTAATTATGATGTTGGTAAGACTTCACTTTTTTGCCTGTCCCAAATGTATTTTGTAGATTTGTTTTCTAGTTTTAAGAATAGATTTGCCTGATGGTGCATAAACAATTTCAACAATTTTGATTCTGAGATTAAAGTCAAAATTCTTTTTTTTTTTTTAATGGCCCTGATCATCTTCCGTATTTTTCAGTTTGACTCATCGCTGGAGGAAGATAAAAGATGCAGTTTGTCGCAGCCCAGCATCCAGCTGCAGACCACTGAGGACTGGACGAGCATCTCAGGGGACAACCACAGCCCATGCCAGGACGCCTTTCCCCCTCCATCCTCTTTACCCTCTCGCTCCCCATCCCCGCCCTCCAGACGAGAAGACGCTCTGCACTCCTCTCTGACGCTGCGCAGCGCAGAGCCTTGTGCCGCACCCATCCACCACAGCCTCAGCATCTCACATGGCAGCCCTCCTCTGCTCGTCTCTCACCACGTCTCTCTGGGCCTCACCTCTGTTGCTGTTGACGTCCAGGTCTATCCTGCAGCCTCTGCTTCAACGGCAGTAAGCAGCAGTACTCACATCAACTCAGCTTCGAACTCAGCCTCAGTGACTGCACCGCTGTTTAGTCCTCCGTTGTTCAACAGCCGAGAGAACGATGATCGATCGACGGCCAGGTTACATCAGAGTAAGTAGCTTCAGACAGATGTTTGACCAAGGAGGAGACTGCAAGTAAATGTATCTTATCATAAGCAAACTTTAAATACTTAGTATTAGGGCTGAAACGATTAATCAATCGTATTAGTGGTGATTAACCGATTATTCAAATAATCGTCAACCAATTAAGTAATCGATTAATCGTTAACTGGAGTATACAGGCTCAAAAACGGCCATTTGCTGAAAGAACAACATATTCAGAGCAGTAAACTGTACAAAAAATTAATACATTTTGCATTTAAGATAAATCTCCTCAAGTGACGTAGTTTTTGCTTCATCTGATTGAAATTGTGTAAAAAAAAAAATCTATTAAGCACCTTTTGCTGCCCAGTTATGAATCAGTTAATCCAAAAAATAAAGATATACCTGCACTGTACTGATAAGTCAAGCAGAAAGCGCAGAGCTTTTACGTGTTGATAGAAGTATTTTTTAGCTGCAGAAGCATCGTTTACTACAAATGATCGATAAATATTTTATTGCCATTGTAGGCAATAAAATATTTATTTTACTTATGTATTTGCATCTTTTAATGTATTTTATACTGTATAAAAAAGATTTCTGTCATTAAATAAAAAAATGGACAATGTGCCAATTTTTTAACCAGATTAATTAATCATCAGAATACTGATAGAACAATCGATTACTAAAATAATCATTAGTTGCAGCCCTAATTATATTGTATTCACATAGAAAACATGTTTACTTTAATTCATGCTGAGAAATTGATTTGCTGGTTTAAAAGTTACATATTGTACATCTTTAGACATATTTTAGTCTTTTTTAGTTTATTTAGCTCTTAACCACACACACACACACGCACAACTGTTCAGACTTTCTGAAGTGTATTCAAGGTTTTTGTTTTGGATCTTGTCTGCTTTTTTGCTCATCGTCAACCCAAAAGTAAAAATTTTCAGAAGAATGTACAAAACAATAATACAAAGACACATTCTGATATATTTTAAATATATTCAGCATCAATCAGTACAATCATTAGATTTATTAGATGAAAACTTGATGTTAATTTGAAAGATATTACCTCCTCATCCTATTTTCCCTCTACTCGAACACGCATGACTTTTTTTTTTTTAAGTAGCCTATTTCTTTTTTTGCCAGTGTTATATGTATGTATTTATAGTCTCTGCAGTGCTATGATTATTGATGAGAAAGGGTAAAGTAGTATATTATTCATCTCAGAGATGCTAAGTGTTGTTTAGATGCTGACTGGCAATAAATCATGAGTGGTAAACAAAGAAAAAACAACATGACATTAATGAATCTGAACGATATAATGAAGGAAAATAAAAATGGAGGATGCATTTAGTACGTAAAACTTGTTTTGGGTAAAGCAGTTTTCTATTTTTTCATTTCTGCACCCTGGGGATAAATATCCTGGTTCCTTTCACGAATCTTTTTGTCTTTGAAAGTAATTTTTTTTTTAAATGTATTTATTCTTTATTGTATCTGTATATAGTTCAAGTAAAGTCCTTTAAATGTTTTGTGTTTAGTAAAACAGCCAAGGAATCCTTACTTATGACATCTCATCCTCATTCTTTATAACAAGGTATTTGACTGTTACGAGATATTTTTGTTTACCAAAGGAGGGTCACTGTCAATAAACAGACATTACACCCTAAGTGTTGACTGAATGTTTCATGTTTAATGGGAGGTTTTAGCGAAGTACAAGTCAACAAAGTCGGCATAACTGACGAAATCTGAAGACACAATCGAGGAAAATTGCGCCGTTACTTGGCAACCTCAGCCGAACCCAGCCCGTCACCTAGCAACACAAGAAGAATTCCACCACGTTCGTGGTGTTGCCGCTGCACGCGCTGTACTAGAAAAGACGAGTGTTTTGTTGCTGACTTACCATTCAGAAACTTCTCCTTTTCAAAGATGTTCGGTTACGTAAACGTTGAGTTGGGGCGTGGCCAGCAGGAGCCTACTTGGATTTAAAGTGAGAAGGGCCCTTAAAACAGCTAAAACCATAACGGACTAGAATGCAGTTTCATTATGATTTTGTGCAGAAAATGTAAGTAATGTGTTTTTATAGCCTATTGATTTATTTTAACCTGTTCATGAGGTTACCTTTAATTTTTTTTTTGTCCATTTCTGAAATTGAAGGAAGTTTGAAAAGAACCTGAAAACATCTCTCTCCCATTTTAGCATACACAAATATTTTAGTAATCATAACTGACCTAAAACAACTTAAAGTTTAGTCTGTTTTCATATTAGGTTGTTATGTGACTTTGTATTCTGTAGATCTATATGTCTGGTTTTTAACTTTTTCATGCAGGTACGGGTTATTCTCAACAGCTACATTAACTTTATAAATATAAATCCAGTATGTAATTGGGCAAGAGGCGGCGGTAAGACCCTGGACAGATCGACATTTCATCACAGGGCAACACAGAGACAAACAGGGCAGACAACAATGCATACACTCACCTACAATTTAGAGAAACCAGTTAATCTAATCTAAATAAATGAATACATTCTGGCTTTGTTTTCCTAATGTACTGAAGAAAGGTGAGTGTTAAAAAGAGGAAAGAAAATAAACTAGCAGCAGAAATGATCACATCTTGAATGAAGAGTACAATAGTTAAAAACGCACAGTAGTGACCAAGATGCAACCTGCAGAGGTCAGTATGATCACATGACAGTAAATTGATTTGTGAACTGCCATTACCACAAAGTTTAGGTTGGATAAAACGTCTGTGAGCCCATTTGATCAAAAACTATCAGTTTTAGTTACCAGTAACAGTTATAAAAATGTTAATTTTTATACAATTTGCTACCCAAAATACCTGAAACTAACATTATTTAAAATATTGTCACAAGAAAATAATATCTGAATAACTTCTGATGTGCTGAAACTACTTGATTTAATGATTCCTCTGTTGTTCGGCACCAATTTCCTTGTCACCCATAAGCTTTTCCCCCAGCACAGACTGTCTTCTGACATGTCTTAAATTGTTGCCACTAATTTACATATGAAATACAGAAGTAACATTATGGAACAAACCACAGAAGTCTGTTCTCATGACTGGAGGCGCCGCTTTGCTCCCCGAGTGTCTGATTAACAGATCGCTCACTTACTATTACTGTCACACAAAGGCAGGGGGGAATTTTTGGCACTACTAGTGGTGCAATGCTGTCACATTCTCATAATACAGTTTACATATTTGTATATAGTTGTAGTTTGTTAAAAAGAGGAACAATACACTTTTAGGACATTTCAATGATTTTAGTCACAAACTTTTATCTGAATGTGTAATCAATTTAGGCAAAAGACTTTTCACTTTACGACAAACTAGCAGGTATTAATCCAGAATTGTGCTAAAATATATACTATTTACATTTAAGATTTAAAAAAATCTTTGTCTATAAATATATTCTGCTCAGAACGGCTGAAGTGGCACAGCTTTAGCTTCGCCTTGTTCAGATTCTGTTTAAAAAAAATAAATAAATCTCCTATCCAACACCTTTTGCTATCCATTAATTATTAAATGTAAAAAATAATCAACAGATCAACCCTATTGATATCTAGTCAAGCAGAAAGGGATGAGCTTTTAGAAGTATTTTTAGCTGCAGATGCAGCCTTTAAATCAGACTAAACTAATTTTAATGAAGAATGTTTTAAAGGGCCGAATTTATTAATAAAATGACCCTAAAACAAACTGTTAAAATACGAATAACGGTTAATAACAGTGGATAAAAACTTCTTGAAATTAAATATTAAACATCTTTTCACCTTGATCTAATTTGGCAGATAAAACAATATTTAAGTACACAACTGTTATATCAAAGGTTTTATTTCTAGCAGGCCACATAAAAACTTCTGGGAGGCTGAATTTGGCCTGCGGGCCTGGAGTTTGACACATGCATTAAATGATCAAGTACACTAAAAGAATGCTATGTTACTGCCTTTTAGGAGATAAAACGACAAGTTGCCAATAAGACTATACTCTTTCCATAGAAAATACAAAACATAAGAACTTGTGTGGAATAATGACTTTAATGGGCATCAGTTGAAACTTTAAATAGGCCTTTTAAAGACATGTCAGCTGCATCGTCAGGAGGTAGACCTGTTTAATAACCAGTTTTCCACTGAATTAAAATGAACAAACACCTTTAGGATCAAAATTCTATTTTTCAGTAGACGGTTGTTCATTAAAGTTCGGTGGACGGGTTCCTCGGCTTCGCCTCCTCCTCGTTTCGCGGGACATGGAAGTCCACGTATGGACACCACTTGGTGTTCAGACAGACCAGTTTCTTCAGAGTCGATGTTTTGATGATGTTGAAGCCCGTCTCGCCTCCGAAGGTGCTGGGCTTCCAGTACTCTGGAGAGTTGATGGGATTCCCAAGCAGGCCTTTCAGGGAGAAAGGGGCTCCCATCTCCACCATGCTCTCTCCGAATATGGAGTTGGGGCGAGTTTTCTCCATCATGAGGCCAGGATAAAACTCCAGGGCGTCAATGTCACCGTAGAGCTCCTCTAAACCTTGAGCTGTTTCTTCATCACCTGTTTGCAGAAAAATGTTAAAGTTTGAATGCATTTTCTGACATCTTGGTGTGCATCAGTGCTGCGGGTAACCTCATTATATAGGAGGAATGTCTGAGTAGGCATAAAAACTACCACATAATTTACATGTACACACTGCATCAGTAAGCTTTTTGTATCTTTATTAGATGGTAGCAGATTGAAAAACCACAGGAAGGTGGTGATGCAAACATCAGATAGGATGGAAAGTTTAGCTGCACCACAAATAAAGCAAAAGAAGTTTGAAGGTTGTTTTTTTTTAGGTTGTTGCAGTTCAAAGTTGGGGGAATTTTCTGATACAATCAATCTGGAAGGGGAGGAACTGATTTCTAGTTAACAGATACAGATTAATAGTTTGAATTTTTATTAATGTAATAGTCAGAAATGGAGAAAACAGCTTTGAATGAGCTATATATATATATATATATATATATATATATATATAAGCTATATAGGGTGATAGCTTTTATACACATAGATCTTTTTAACAAAATATTGCTGTAACTTTTAATAATTTGATCCAATAAATGTAAAAGCAACATTTTCTGTATTAACTACTAAAGTTCAGAGAGTCTAGGAACGTTTGATTTGTTTAAATTAGTTTTTTGTTGCACAATAAGAATACAGTGTGACACAAA